TACCACAGGCTAAGGAAAAGAGCCTTGCACCCAACACAGTGAAGCTTTCTGTTTATCATTCTTTATTTGATTGTATTGTCAGTTTTTTATTTTACTTTTTAAAATATTTTTATTTTTTATTCTTCGGTGTTTTCCTCCTTCTGTGCATTTTCCCTTCACTTTCATTCTATTATTTTACTCGTGCTCCCTTATGAGCATGTCTGTGCGTGTGTGCTTCCCTTCCTCCTCTCTTGCTCCTATGTCTTATTCATTCTCAATTATTTTCTTCCCTCTTCCTCTTTTCATTTCTTTTCCATAACTCTTTCTGTAATATTTATATCCTAGAATCTTTCTCATCCCCGTTTCTTGCTTTGCTCCATTCTAAATCTGTAACACTGCCTTGCTATCCTGAAGCTCCTGATTCTTCCTTCCATACCACAGAGCAGTGGACCCCTCAGAAAAGAACTTTTTTTCTCTTTCTTGCTCCCTCTGGCATCACCCTAGCCCTAACACCCGGGGCTTAGATAACTGATTCTGTAAAACTACTGTTAGAGGTTTCTTTTCACCATTAGCAGAGACAGAGCCACCACATTCAGTGTACAGCAGATGTGGGTCAAGACTACGGTTGTTATGATGCTTACACGGTAACCAAAGATTTCCTCTATAGGTTACAGAAAGACCCATAACAGGGTCTCATGGGATGTTATTTCTCAACTAGTTCTGACAGATAAAAAGGTAATGAATTAGCCTATTACAGCTGTAGCTGATTTGATTGCATAGGAACAATCTTGAATCTGTGGACAATTTAGTGGTAGTGAACCAGTGCACTGAATCCCAACATCACACATAGGGAGAAGGGCAGCAGGAATTCCTAACTCAGGAAATCAGACTCTGCAAGAATGCTGCAGCCTGGCAGAAATAAGTCCTGAGTCTGTTAGCTTTGGTACTGTGGTGGAGGGATCAGGGGAATTACTAAGATGCGAGCACTCAGACTCTCACAAAGAAGCTACTTGGGAATAACATATGCAGTGTCTTATTGAAGTATTTAATCTGTGTTCCATCAGACATCTTACAAGTCTAAGTTCTTTTTTTATGCTATTTAATTTACTCATTAACATGGGGTTTATTATATTCTTCTATGATTTCTTGTTTTTATTAGGTTGTTACTATTGTGCACTTGTTCTTTCCCTGGCTCTGATTTAATAGGTATCTAGGCTCGCTCTCTGTCATCTCAGCTGCTATCTAGTTTCTTTACCTCAAACCCCTGAGACAATATTAAATATTTCTTTATTATTTTTTCAAACATGTAAACTCCTCCACCCAAGTTTTTAAATTTCTCATACTTAAATCCCTCACAAGCAATAAAAAGAAATGGAACAGATACATATAGGAAAAGAAGAACTCAAATTATCAATATCTGCAGATAACATGATACTTTACATAGAATACCCGAGGAACTCCACCAAAAACTACTTAGAATTAATAATGGGCTTCAGCAATGTAGCAACATACAGGATCAACACACAAGAATCATTAGCATTTGTGTACCCAACAATTAATGAGATGAGAAGAAAACTATGAAAGTGGTAACATTCAGAGCAGCTTTAAGAAAAATGAAGTATCTAGAAATTAACCTAACCAAGGAAATGAAAGACTTCTACAAAAAATAAAGAATCAACTAACCTACAATACTCTGGAAAAGGAGACTGAAAAGAGAATCAGACAACAGAAAGGTGTTCCCTGCTCCTCAGTAGGCAGAATCAATACTGTAAGAATGGCCACCCTTTCAAAACTGTTATACAGATTCCAGACAGCCCCGGTCAAAATACTGAGAGCACACTTCACAGATATATAAAAACAGTCCTAAAATTCTTATGGAGTCAGAAGAGATCCTGAACAGATAAAGCAACTGGGGCAACAAAAGCAAGCAGGAAGCATGGCAATATCTGACCTCAAACTATACTATAATGCCATAGTGACAGAAACAGTGTGGTACCGGAATGAAAAAAGACATGTGGATCAATGGAACAGACCCCAAAACTTCCACAGACACAGTCAGCTATTCAATCTTTGCCAAAGGGACAAACACATACATTGAAAGGAAGAGCCTATTAGACAAATGGTGCTGGTGAAACTGGCAACTTATGCACAGAGGATTAACACTGGACTTTTTTCTCTCACAGTATACTAAATAAAAATCAAAATGGATCAAAGATATAAACATTAAACAGGAACATTAAACCTACTGGAAAATAAAATAGATAAAACATTTGAGGACATGGTTATAGGGAAGGATTGTCTAAACAGAACAGTAATGGCACATGAAATAACAGCAATAATCAACAAATGTGATTATATCAGACTAAAAAGCTTCTGAAATGTGCAAGAGAAATGAACAGACATTTTACAGAAGAAAAAATACAAAGGGTCAACAAATATATGAAAAACTTCTGAACATCCCTGGCCATTAGAAAAATGTAAATCAAAACAATACTAAGATTCCATGTTACTCCAGAAAGAATGGCCATCAGCAGGAAATCAAGAATAACAAAAGCAGGCAAAGCTGTGGCAAAAAGGAACCCTCCTTCACTGTTAATGGGGATATAAACTAGTTCAGCCATTACGAATATCAGCATGGAGATTTCTCAATGAAATTCCACATGAACCAGTGATTCCTCTGCTAGGTATCTTCCCCAAAGAGTTTAAGACATCACAGATGCATACCAGTGTTGACTGCTGCACAACTCAAAATAGCTGTATATTCATCAACAGATGATTGGATAAGGAAAATGCAGTGTCTATACATATTGGAATACTGCACTGCTATAAAAAGAATGTAAGAAAACAGATATACCTGAAAAATATAGTATTAAATGAAATTAATCAGACGCACATTCTTAAATACTGTTATAGCATCTCTAAGTGAATCAAAGTACAAATAAAAATAATAATAAAGGAGGGATTAGAGGAACAAGGAAGTGCAACTCTGCAATAGAGAAGAAATCCAAGAGAAAAAGTGGGAGGGGTCAGGAGGAAGGAAAGGGAAAATAAATAAAATATGGATGGATACACCATGTAACAGAAGCTAATAATCTCAATTAACGTAAACATTATGTAAGCATGCCATAACATTAGCTAAGATTCATAATAACAGTAATGAAAAATAGGACACATGAATAGAGGAGGAGAGAAGGGGGAAAGGATTAAAAAAACAAGTACTAATAAAATAAAAAAATTAAAAATAAAATAAAAGGTAAAAAGAAATTTAAAACAGAAATAAGGAAAAGGACAATCATTCTAATAACATATTCTTTTTTTTATTATGTATGCCTATGTAAAAATGTAAATTTCTAACCATTATTGTGGATGGTTTGCCAAAACATTTTATAAACACATACAAATAAATAAATGATCACAGAAATGTTCTTTTATTTGCTGATGCCTTTTAAAAGTAGAAACTTTTAGCTGGGTGTGGTGGCACATGCCTACAACCCCAGCATTCTGGAAGGCTGAGGCAGGAGGATCCCAAGTTTGAGCCTACCCTGAGCAACTCCATAACTTAGCCATCCCTGACTGTAAACATCATACATGAATAAACAAACGTGGTGGGACCTTTCGTGAACAGTTTGGTTTCCAAACAGAGACATTTGGAAAAACGTTGGTTTTGTTTGTGAGCTCTGTATTGGGTGACAACATGCCCACAGCCATCTTTCCTACACGAACAAGAATGTGGCCTTCTTTTCCACGATCATGGAATGAATTAAGTTCAAGAGCCGAGGTTCTATGGTAGACAGGGTGAAGCCTTTTCTTTTTTGGGGCATCAGCCTCAGGTCCCCTCTCACCTGCTAGGGAAGCACAGAGCCATACCCACCCCAGAAACTTATTCTTAATGTCTCCTTCACTTTACAATGGAAAGTCACGTTTCATTACACTAAAGATGTTTCACATATTTTAAAAATACTGTATGATCATTTTCCCAATCTAATTTTGTGTTAATATAATTCCTAAAGCCTTTCTATAAATGTTTTTAAAAATGAATGACTAATGCATTTACTATCTTTCACATTGAAGAGTTGGTTTTTCCCTTTTATATTGTCTCATATGAATAGATTCTCTCCAAGCCAACTCAGTCACATATTTATTTGCTAGAATAACATGGGCTATTTATTTAATATTGTTCATCAAAACATTTATGACTATATTAATTTTAAAGAAGAAAAGATACGTAAAGATTTGGCATCTATTAAGTTTTTGCTCTGTGTCTAAATGTATTTGGAAAATTATAAAATAAAGATTTTATTTAAGGAATTTTTAAATGTTTTTAGGATAAGTTTATATTCATATGCTATGTTACTGAAAGAAAATGTAAATTACAAAATATTATATAAACAATTATTATAATTTTTACTTTAAAAAATATATACACATGTGTTGACAAAAACCCAAAAAGATATTTAACAAAATTGCAGTAGTGGTTGGCCCTGAGTGGTTAGCATCTGGAGTCTGTAGTTTCTGCTTTATATTTTTAGAGTAATTTCTTATTCACAGAAAGACTAATCAGATGGTCATGAGATTTCCCACATGAAACTACCCACTTCACCATCTCCCATCAAAGTGGTCTATCTGTTTCAACCAATGATCCTGTGCACAGTATCAGCGAACTCACAGAGCACATTAGCCCTTCTGAGATTCTTCTTCAGAGACCGGCTCCTTTCACCTTGCGTTCTATAACTTCATTATTATTTCTGAATGAGCTTATTTTCACAAGAGAAAAATTCATGAACCACGAAAAGATTTAACCATCTTCTACAAAATGACTTGCATTTCACTCTGTTGGTGGGACAGTCAACAAATTGTGAAAGTTTGATCATCTGTTCAATTAATTTGCTAGCAAAACATTTCAGATTCTTTACTAAAACCTAAAACATAATTCTGCTTGCCAGAATTAAATTTCTTATACAGCTTCATTCAACTCTTCATTTTTACTTAGTCTAAAATGAAAAGATCTAAGGACAACATACTCAGCTGCCTGTTTGAAGTGTTTCAAGTCTTTCTTCAAATTTTTATTCTCATTCTCTAAAAGCATGATCTGAGTGTAGACATCCGGAACACTCCGAGCAGGTCGAAGTTCAGTCACTCCTTTCTGGATCAATTCGTACCTGTAATAAAAATAAAACAAAAGTCTTTATATCATTTCTCTCTACTAAACTGGCTTCATTTATGTAGAAGTTTTAAAATATAAGTTCTCGTATTACATTTACAAATTAAATGACAATATTTACCATACAGTGTTAAAATTTTATTTATGGGGTTGAGGGGATAACTGAGAATCGAACTCACAATGTCTCACTTGCCAGACAGGAGCTGTGTCGCAGAGCTATATCCCTGGCCCATTGTTAAAGTTTTTATGAATACCATCAGAAGTCAAGACACTGGTCCCTACCTCAGCGTTTGTAGTCTGATGGGGAGGGTGGTAAGTTCTATGAAATCAAATAAATCAGGATAAGAGGGACTAAGAAGGAACGAGTGGCAGAGATGTTGGTGCTATTTTATATAAAGCTCCCTTGACTGACCTGCACACTGCCAAAGTGATCTGAGTAGACACTTGAAGGACCTGAGGACGTGTGACCTATGGGAGAGGTGTGTCCAGGGCTGACAGGAAGTAACGCTAAGCTCTGGTGTTTGGCACAAGGTAGCATTTGGCAACTCAGAAAGAGCAGGCCATACAGCTGGAGTACTTGGAACTGAAGCCATGTGTGTCAACAAGGGAGAGCAGGAAGAGAAGACAGGAAGACAGTGGGAGCCACAGTGAGTGAAGAAATTGTCTTCTGAATTGGGCTGAAGCCAGGAAAAAGTTTGGAGATGACTGACACAAAACAGATTCATGCAGAAAGACTCGGGAGCCAGTGCAGGATCAGAGAGGCTGGTTGGCAGGCTGCTGCAGCTGTCCAGGACAGGAGAACAGTAGGCTAAACTACGGGTCACGGCGGAGGCTGTTAGAGGTGGGCAATTTCTGGACGTGCTGTAAAGGAGGAGCTCAAATAATTCTGTGATGAATCAGCTGTCAGGTGTTAGAAAAAGAGGTAAGTCAAGGATGACTTCAAGGCTTTTGGCTCAGAGACACACAGGCATTTACTGAGTGGGAGCAAAGTCCAGAAGGACCCGGTGGTTAGAGAAATCGAGGACCTGTGTCTGTCCACGTTAAATTTAACTGAAGTGAATGTTGGACACATTCAAGGGCTTGGAAAAAAAACAAGGAGGCAGCTGTTTGTGAGCATCCTCAGAAGAGGGACGGTACTTAAAGTCAAACCCCTGCAAGAGAGCAGCTGGGCAGTGAATGTAAGGAGAAAAATAAAGATTACTGGATTAAACCATGAGACACCGTATCCTTTCAAGGTTTAAAGGAGAAGAAAGGAAACGATGACAAAAACAACCAAGACAGACAGACCTGTCAGGCAGTGGAAAGCATGAGAGATCTGTGAGAAATGTGGGAGAACTTTTCTCAAAGAAATACACTGAGACCAGGAAAGAGGATATAGGGTGCAGGTTGCTGCTATCTCTTTTTCTTTCTTCTTAAATATGTGAGATACTATGACCATCTCTGTGTTTATGAGGATGACCCAGCAGAGAGAGAAAGAACTAACAAGCAGAAAAGAAAGCGAAGTCCTGAAGCAGGTGAGGGGAGGTGGGTCCAGGTAGCAGGAATAAAGCTGGCCGGGGAAAGTGGTCTAAATGACTCAGCCTCAGTGACAGAGAAAGAAGGCGGCCCAGGTCAGGTCACAAGGAAAAAGGCAGGAGGCAGGAACTGCAGCCAAAGGGGGATACCAGAGAATCCCTGGCAAATTGCAAATAATTATAACTTTATGTAGTGATCCACAATGCTAAATAAAAATCTCAGCACATAAAAACATTTCACGCAATGAAGTTATTAGCAAAGCAATCCCTACGGGGTCTTTTAGGTGAGCTAAATATTATAGCTAAACCTGTCTGAATTATTATTTTCATACTTAAGCCAATACATTAATGAAATAATACTTTCTTTTATACACTTTATCTAATATTTTAAAAACTCATCGAGAACCCTTGTACAATAACCTGAAGGCCAAAATAATTGAATGAATATATTATACTATTTGCCACAAATTATAAAACATCAAATAGATAACAAGTCATTAAGTCATAAGTTCAGTACTTTATTTGTATGTAGAATGTAATTAATATTTCTCTTAGAAAAGAACACAAAGGATTGACTGAAGTTTTTTTGTTTTTTGTGGTTTTTTTTTTTTTTTGTCTTTTTTTTTTTTTCCTTTTTATCGGTAGCGGGGATCGAACTCACGACTGCCTGCTTGCAAGGCAGGCGCTTATGCCGCTGAGCTAAATCCCCAGAATAAAATTTTTCTGACCATAAAACTAGTTTTCAAAAACATTATTTAATGCAAAAAATAAAAATTCACTGATGAAATTATAAGGACAAAAGAGATTTAATAATTTTTATCTAAATTAAATTTGATGTAAATAAAATAAACTGTCACAAAGGAAATATAAATCAAAACATAACATATATTATACTGTGTCTTGTCTTTATGTCTTCAAAAATCATGTCATGCAAAATTTGTTATCCATAAAAATATATAAAAAAGGATTTTAAAGTCAATGTAAGTGAGAATCTTTATGTATAAATTCCATAATTCATTTCTCAAAAAATCCTGCATTTCCCTATGTAAGATATTTTCTTTTGATATATTATGATTTTTTACTTTAATACTTGTTTGCAGTATACAATGATTATATTCACTGTCAGCGATTTGCACATAATCTGTTTTAAATCCCTTTTCTTCTCTCCACCTCCATCCCACTTTTATTTTTACAGCATCAGATTCACTTATCTGTCTTACAAGACCTTATAAAGTTAATTATTGCACATACAGATTGAAAACCAACTAACAAGCCAAAGAATATATAAATGTATAATACAATTTTACAAAGTCAGGCACACGTTTGAATACATTGTTCACACTGAATACAATATCTTTTTTTCTCTTTTTTCCTAATATCTGTCTTTTATTTTATAATTTGTATATAGAGTTTTTCATATAAAAGAAAATGTGATATTTAAGCTTCTGTATCCGCTGTGTTACTTCACTTAAATTATGGTCTCAAGGTACATTCATTTTTCTATAAATATCTTGTGTATCCTTTTTATGGCAGAGTATACACTCCACTGTGTATAAATACTTTATCCATTCATCTGTTGATGGAAATATAGGCTATTTCCAAAGTTTATCACAAATTGTGCTGCTATAAACATGAATATGTTTATCATTCTATTGTGATGTCTTAAACTCTTTTGGAAAAATACCTACAAGAGAAACAAGTGGATCAAATGGAATTTCTAGGATTTTTTTTAAAGAATCTCCAGCCAAGAATTTAGTTCAGTCGCATAAGCATCTGCCTAGCAAGCGCAAGGTTGTGAGTTCAATCCCTAGTACCAATAAATATATAAATAAATACTCTCCACACTGATTTCCATAGTGGTTGTATCAGTTTAAAGTCCCACCAACAATGGAAAAAGATTTCTTTCTCCCCACAGTCTCACCAGCAATTGTCATTGGCTGATTTCTTGAAAGTATCCATTGTTCTTCGAGTAAGATGAAATCTAAGTGTTGTTTTAACTTGCAAATCTCAAGTGGGCAGTGATGGTGAACACGTTGTCATGTATTTATTATGTATTTGGATTTCTTCATCTGGGAACTGTCTGCTTATTTCAGATGCCCATTTTAATTGGGTCTTTACATTTGAGGGGTCTAATTTTTTTTAGTTCTTTATATATTCTAGATACTAGTCCTTTATCAAAGTAGCTAGAAAATACTTTTTCCATTCTGTAGGTTGTCTTTTTTGCAATGTTAGTGGTTTCCACTGATATGCAGAAGCTTCTTAATTTGTTGTTTCTTGATATTATTTATTACACAACCAGGGTTTTGTTCCAAAAATCTATACCTACACCAATGTCTTAAAGAATTTTACCTATTTTGGCTTCCAACAAATGAAGTATTTCTGCTCTAATGTTTAAATCTTTGATCCATTTTGCTTTTAGTTTAGTGCATAGTGAGAGATATAGATCTAGGTTCAAACTTCAGCAAGTTAATAGCCAGATTTCCCAGCACAATTTTTTTAAATTAACAATAGTTATTATATTGAATATTCTTATCTTCAAAATAGTTGCTCACATTACCAGAAATAGGCATGCAAAATTGATCAAACAATAAAAGCACTAACTGTTCCTTTCAATGAACTAATAGAATTAGTACTACAATTATTTTAGTCATCTTGTGTATATACATATATATAATAATTTTATCTCCTTCTTTCTTCTTTCCCCATCCCAGTTTTTTCCATTGAAGCAGTATTTACCTTTCACAATATCTATTATACCTTTTGGATATATCTATTGTACCTTTTGGATCTTATTTACTCTTTCAGTTTTTACACTAAGAAAACAATACAATGTTTACAAATGATACTCATTTATTTAAGTATAAAAATGGACTCTAGTCACATCCATTTACTATAAAAGCCTCGAATTTATCTTTTTTTATAGCTGAGAAGTACTCCATTATGTAAAAATACATCTTTTTTATCCATTCCATGGTTGATAGGCATTTGGGTTATTTCCAAGATTTAGCTATTACAAATCTTGCAGCTATAAACATGGGTACACATATATCACGGTGGTATGATGTTTTCAGTTCTTCTGAAAAAATATCGTGCAGGCCAATAGTACAGTAAAATAGGACTTGTAACCCTAATTTTTTGAGGAACCTCCACACTAACTACCACAGTAGTTGCACCAATCTACACTCTCACCAAGGAGAAGAGTTTCTTTTTCCCCACAACCCCAGCAGCATTTGTTATTGGATGATTTTTTTGATGATAGCCATTCTTCCTGATGTCACAGTATTGTGCCATCACAGTATCATTGGAATCACAGTATCATTTTAATTTGCATTTCTTGAATGACCAATGATGTTGAACATATTTTCATATATTTGTTTGCCATTTATATTTCTTCATCTGAAAAATACATATTCATCTTGGATTCCCATTTTTGGATTGTGTCTTTGAATCTGAAAAGCTTGTTTTTTTTTTAATTCTTTATGTA